TATGGATATTGTCACCAGGTGTCCCTGTTGCTGCTGGATGTTTCTGTGTTATTATCTATATGTGTATTGGTCTATTTTATTCTATAATATATGAATGAAAAGAGCACATGGGGCAGATTCCTTTTATTCATAGAAAAATTATACTTTAATCTTTTAACTCTCAAATCACAACAGACTCCTCAAGCGAAAGATGAACATTAAAGGGAGGTTGAAACAGTAAAGGTGTTTCTGTCAGAGCAGTGTGAGATTTTCATAAACAGTTTGTATTGCTGTTATATTTTAGTTTGTGGCAGAATGAATCTCCTGAAACCAGCTGTGTGTCCATGAAGAGTGACCAGTCAATGGTTCCTCCAATTGAATTCAGTTTGGGAGACACATCTGCTGATTTGAGGTGTTGTTTAGTTTACAGTATAAAAAGTATATATGATATTCATTAATTTACTGATGTGTATTAAATACATGTTTACAAAAATATTCAATATTTGTTTAACTACAGTCAAAAACATAAAGGACCGGAATCACATACAGCAAAGAAGAACTTAGGCTCCATTTTCAAGGTTAGTTTTGTGTGTGTGTGTGTGTGTGTGTGTGTGTGTGTGTGTGTGTCCATCCCAACACAATAACCCTCTGGGTAAAAGTATTAAGAAATGGAGAAATCTGTGAAATCCTCTCTATAATAGTCACATTTATTTTCCTACACACACGTAAGATAATTTGTAGGCCATTATAAAGCAGATCAATGACCACTAAAGTAGAGAAGCTGAATCCATATGTAACCTGAACGCTGCACAAAGATGAACATCAATCTAGCAAACAATCAATCCAGTCAAACTTCCTCTTTTAACCTCAGTATCTGTAGACACTGATGTTTGAGCATACAGTGGAAGTTTTTAGCAGGTGTGATATAATTCAGTGACGGTAAATATTATTCATGCCTTCACTCTTGTGTATTGATCCTTTGGTTCACCGTCTCTGTGACTGAATTGAGGTTTATTGTTTGAATATTTACTATGATTTCAGGAGCTTCAGCACAAAATCATCTCTGTGATGAAGAGTGAGTTGAAAAGCTTTAAGAGACTACTGAGTCCAGATTACCCAGAATGCTCTGAAAGAGACGATCATGATGATGAGGGTCATAGCAGAGTCAGAGAGGGGCTTCTGAAGATCACACTGCACATCCTGAGGAAGATGAACCAGACAGACCTCGCTAACACACTACAGACCAGTAAGAGCTCTGGATCAGCAGATTATAGCCTGTGTTTTTATTATCAACCTTCTGTCTTCAGTCACTAATTTTCCTGAATAACCTAATATCTAACATATCAAAGCTAAAAATAAATTTCTAAAATATTGCTCTGCCAATAACACCAATTATTTCCTTTGTTGAAAGAAAAATGGTATATCAAATCATTCTGTTATAACATAGTTGAGAATTATCTTTATACAAAGTTTGGTAAAAAAAAAATCCTGAAAACTAAAAATGTATTGGTGATTTAAAAATAAATAAATAGTTTTTGCCTATGCATGTTCATTCGTGTCTTTTTGTTTATTTTTTTTAAGAAATTGAGTCCCGATGTCCTCTACCAAGGACGTAGCATAACTTATAAATGAAATATCTTTTTTTTTTTACTTTTTTTTTATGCTCTAAACAATGTAATGACATGACAAAATACTAAATTCACAAAACAGTTTTTTCCTGGTAGTCAGGAGGATATTCAACAGGCAAAGTTCTGTATCTAAATGCAAAAATGTTCATAGTTGTTTGAATAAAACAGACTACTGGGGAAAAAATCTGAATACTCATCTTGTAACCATCTTGTGATTATTTTAACAAAAGCAACAATACTCTGTGATGAAGAGTGAGTTGAAAAGCTTTAAGAGACTACTGAGTCCAGATTACCCAGAATGCTCTGAAAGAGACGATCATGATGATGAGGGTCATAGCAGAGTCAGAGAGGGGCTTCTGAAGATCACACTGCACATCCTGAGGAAGATGAACCAGACAGACCTCGCTAACACACTACAGACCAGTAAGAGCTCTGGATCAGCAGATTATAGCCTGTGTTTTTATTATCAACCTTCTGCCTTCAGTCACTAATGTTCCTGAATGTCATGACACATCTAACATATCAAACCTAAAAATCAATTTCTAACATGTTGGCAGAGCAATAACAACAATTATTTCCTTTGCTCAGAACTGATGCCTGTCTATCAACAAAAACTCAAATCCAGGCTACAGGATAAATATCAGAGAATCAGTGAAGGAATGTCCAATCATGGAGACTCAACACGTCTGAATGAGATCTACACAGAGCTCTACATCACAGAGGGAGGCAGTGGAGAGGTCAATAATGAGCATGAGGTGAGACAGATTGAGACAGTGTCCAGGAGACCAGAGACACAGGAGACACCAATCAACTGCAATGACATATTTAAACCCTCACCTGGACAAGACAAACCCATCAGAACTGTGCTGACTAAAGGAGTCGCTGGAATTGGAAAAACAGCCTCTGTGCAGAAGTTCATTCTGGACTGGGCTGAAGGAAAAGCCAATCAGGACTTTCATTTCATATTTCTGCTTCCTTTCAGGGAGCTTAATTTGATACAGAAAAATCTCAGTCTTGTGGATCTTCTAAACAACCTGTTTCTGAGCTCTACAGGCAGTTCTTTTGACCTCAGGGCTTGGTTTTTGCTCTGATATGCACTATCAGCTGTTAGACCTTTTATTAAGATGTGTGTGCCTTTCCAAATCATACCCATTCAATTGAATTTGCCACAGGTTAACTTCACTCAAAGTGTAGTAACATCTACAAGTAATATGAATGCTCCTGAGCTAAATTTCAACTGTCTCAGATAAGGGTATGAGTACTTATGCAATGGGATCATTTAAGTTTTTTATTTTTAATAAATTTGCAAAGATGTTAAAAACTAGTTCTTTGCTTTACCATTATGGTGCATGGAGTGTAGAATGATGTGGGGAAAAAGTAATTTAAAGCAGTTTAACATAAGGCAGCAACATAACAAAATGTGAAAAAAAAAAAATTTATTTTAGCGAAAACAATGTGCCAAAAGTGTAAGCGTGGAAAAATGGAAGTCAGTAGAATGCAAATCATATATATATTGCGTTAGCATGAAGCTGCAGTTTCACAATATATGAATTACACTTACGAGTAACAGTAAAATGCTGCAAATAATTTTTTCTTACGCTTGAAACACTATTAAAAGTGTAAGCGCGGAAAAATGGAAGTCAGAAGCATGCAGATCATATTTATTTTGCGTTAGCATGAAGCTGCAGATCCACAATACATTAATTACACTTACGAGTAACAGTAAAATGCTGCAAATCATTTTTTTCTTATGCTTGAAATGCAATTTACACCTTTACAAAGCTTCTCTTGCGCATGCAAATTTAATTTACGCTTACAGTCTTATGTATACTTCCACAACTCTTACCCTGCGTATGCAAATCTTTTAGGCATTATTTTACCATCATAGAAGTTGCGATTGTCCCAATAGGGCGCGGCCATATTGCACTTATTTGGGACCAGAGTCTGCGCAGTAGCGAACACGGGACCCGAGTCTGCGCAGTAGCGAGCGAAGTGGAGCCACGTCCCGCCTACACTCCCGCAGAGTCGATCGCAAGCACACGCCCCTGACCCTTTTTTAAATTAGCCTGACTGCTCCAATTTTTGTCTGCTGATTGCCGTATAAGAGGCTTGTATTAAAATAAGGTAAATGCAACTCCAATCTCTTCCTGAAGATCCCGAAAAAGTTAGTTTGTGCTTCAGTTCACTCAGAGAAGCTTTCAGTCTCAGCTGTCAATCATGACATCACACTCCTGTTTTTATAGCATCACTTAACTAACTAAAACTAAACTTATTTAAAAAACGAACACTTAACTTACATCAGTGTGATAAAATTACATCAAATGACAAAAACCTTCTTTGAAAACAAAATATTTGAAGTGAAATTATTTTCACTTAGTTTGTGTTACTAAAAAATATCAGATTACTCAATTGTCAAAATAATCAGTAGATTACTTGACTACCAAATTAATCATTAGTTACAGCCCTAGATTAGTTCAATATTTAAAAATACAACTGCATTGTTTTACTTTTTGTAATTAAAAGACAAATATTTTGTCATTGAAAATTTCTTA